AAATAATGAGTTAAGTTAACATTAACTCATTATTTGGGTAAAATGATGAAACGAAATTCTAAACGATGCCATTTTTTTCTGAACAAAATGCCTCCTCCTAAATCCCAATGCCAAAAAAAATATATATTTAAACTCATATACCAACGAACCATACGTTCATTGTTCTCGAAAAATCATCACTTTGCCAAACTGCGTTGTTACAAACCAGGGACGAAATAAAAAGAATACCTGATATACAAAGTATTATTGAAAGCCAACAAAGTATGGTAAATCGCATCGAATTTTGGCTCTGTTATGATAAATCGAGGGAGAGGGCTGAAGTGTTGGGAATGCTTTCTGTGTTGCATAAATCTGTGTCTTTATGCAGTCATTGTATTTCACATAAATATTATTGTTGACTGTTGCTTATATAAATTATTACGAATGTGTTAAAAAAATTTCTTAACAAGCCTGTTGTAAATGTATGATGAAATTTCCTCAAATTGTATTTTGAAGTTATAACTTATATTTATAATCTTTATCAAAATCATTTAATGCCATATTTCTAAAAAATACAAGCTTAGCCAAAGTAATTCGCACAGTTTCAAAGAACTTTTTATTTACAAGCAGACGACATACAAGCAAAGGTGGTGCACAGAAAGATGCATCCACTCATCAAGTTCCTGGAACACACTACATGTATTCAGTGCGTACAACTTCGGTCGCCAAGAACATATTCCAAAATAACCCTGTTCCATCCATATATTAAATAGCACGTTACCATTAATGGCCATCACAGTTCTGGTTTTTTGGACATTGTTTTTTTATAAGTTTATGAACCTCCAATGGCGACAACCCTACAGAAACTTATCACTCCTGCTGTGACGGGCATTGATAGTAACATGCTATTGAATATGTGGATGGAACAGGGTTACTTTGGAATGTGCTTTTGGTAACCGAAGTTGCTCACATTGAATACATGTATTATGTTCCATTAACTTGATGAGTGTATGCATCTTTCTCTGCATCAACTTGTTTGTATATCGTATGATTGAATTTAAAAAAATGTTTTGAAACTGGATGGATCAATTCGTCTAATATTGTACAAAAAAATACATTATGTAAATTCCGAGAAAAACTGTATATTGTATTAGTTAAAAATAATCACGTTTTATCTCAGGGGTGGCTTAACAGTAGTGTATGCGCCAAACGTGGTACATTGGATGAAGTGGAGCTTCTCTTTGTTCTGATATTACCGAAAGTGATTTCTAGTTTTTAACCCTTTGCGGTCGCATTAAGTTTATACACGGGTGTCATGCTGGTCGGAATTAATTTTCGCTGAACAAACAATAATAAATAATAGGCAAGATTATGAAGGGAAAATGAAATTTATTAGCTCTTTTTTAAACTTTAGATATATATAACTCAATAATATGTTTCAATTTTATGTAAAAATTTTATAGTTCTCCATAATGTGGTATCTTTCAAAGCTGTCTTTCCAATATGAAGCCCTGGTCTTCTGGAACAATTGTCGAAAAAATAATTAGTTCGGCGTCTTCCGCCTTTAATTTTTCTGTTTAAACATACAGAACAATCTTTACTCTTCATATTTGCACAGTGCTGCAATATATGTAGTTTGCCATTAAGCCGTGGTGGCTGAGAGCAGATATACGACTGGAATGGTATAAAAGCGTTGGTGGCTGAAATTAGACATACGACCGTAAAGGGTTAATTTTCCTATCTTAATTCTATCTCTTCTTTAAGATCATTGCTTAATTGAAACTTTAAGATTTAAGTGCATAAGGTAAAATTGTAGTTTACATAAAAATCTGCCAATTACTAACCATTAGGCGCGATACCAAATTCACGAATCTGAACAACGTTGGTGAACAAATTGGTGCAAAGGTTGACCACCCCTGCCTTAAATCGATGGAATATTTTTGCGAATTACTTATATCTGTGTAATTCTCGAGAGTGTGAACCAGGGTCCAAATAATATCAAACTAAAATAAGAACTTTTCGTCGTTGTAAGTACACACCAAACAAATAAAAGCATCATTACGATTAGAGTAGCCAAACCAAACTTTCAAAAAATGTGTTATAGTCATCATTGAGGAAACTACGGAAATAAATGAAATATGAATAACAAATAAATAAAATAGGAATCTGAGCTATTACTATGAATATTAGCTGTGTTTAAATTTAATCTCAAAACACTCAAACTGAATCGAAATGAAATGAGAATACAAATTTCTTGAGCTACGTAGTGTGTCTCAAAAATCCTGTGTGGCTTATTGTTTGCTTTTTATGTACTTAATTGCTCACTATTTAGTCTTAAATCATACAGATGTGATGGCTGGTAATACAATCTTTAATGTTAACTTAACTCATTATTTATTATGTAAATATTAATGTTTGTTGCTGTGTCATTATGAGTCAGTGTTTTTTTTTTTAAAAATCGAACAAATCAGGCAAGGTTGGATGCATAGAAATTTTTCATTTTGTTGAAATATTCAGCGATTCATGCAACTTTAGGTCACGCCAAATTTGCACCATACATACCGAGACTTTTTTTTTAGCTTCTACTCATTAGTATGTAAAACCTTTGTAATTAATTGCTGACACAAGATTTTGACAGTCGAAGCCTAAGCTTTATTTCGAAATTTTCGAATGACCTTTGACCTTTAAGACAAAGGTCCATTGTTTATGTTTTAATAGTTATTGCGTACATTTCGAAAAAAATATTGCCCTATGTAAAGTGGTGTGCTTTTCTCAAAATTCAGTATTAAAACCCAACAATTTTTCGCATAAATAAAAAAAACAAAAACGTGTGTCTCATAGTTTTATATAAAGGAAATATTCGGAAAATTTCAACAAAATTAAAAATATCCTGCATTCAATCTCGTCTGACTCTTAATAAAAATGACTCTTAAGTATCAATTCAGCATTTATGTCCATCTTTAAAGCTGCAATATTTAATTTGGGGCGATTTTTTATTGGGGACATAAAAACATGTTGCATACATAAATAAAAAAAATAATTTCGGCATTCTTTGTGCATTAAAACGAGAAAAAGGTAAATATATATATATATATATTTATACAAAATTTTATCCAAATGTATTTCACTTATTATCTTAATAAAGAACAAATTAAAGTATCAAAATGATAAAATATGCGCTGTTTTCTGAAATCACCATCCTTAATCTCTATTTTACGAACCACTAACAAAACTGAAGATATAAAATATGCAAATTAAGGTCCGGAAAATAATATTTAATTTTTAAAAACAATATTGAAATATTACGGAATTGATGTAAAGAATGAGAAAGATGAGATAAATGGTGAGAGATGTTGAAAAGTGGTAATTATAATTACCTTTAAGTTTCAATTAAAAGGAAATCGAAATTTTTTTTATACTTTCACTTCCGCCTTCTTCGTTAATTATTTACCATACTTCACAGGAGTTTTCCTTTGCTAGCTTGTTGGCTATATTTGAGAAGATATCTTTTTAGCTGATGTCTGGGATGGGTTATTCTTGAGGTTGTCAGATTTTGTAACAGATAAATACTAATTGGCGACCTCTGTTTTCTTGCTTATGATTATTTTAGACAAAAATTGCATTAGGTTCGGTTATTACAAAACAGAAAATGCTTCTAGAGATATCGGCTCTTAGTTGGCAAAACATTTACATTCTTTTTTAAGATAATTATTATTTTCCATTTTCTTTTGCATAATATTTTGTAATGATTTTTTTAAACTTAAAGGAAAGTTTTAAGACCTTATTTAGAAGTTCATTTCATATAAAAAAATTCAAAATCAGATTCGGGTTCGTTCATATTTGAGAAAAATATTCCGAGCTCTTCTAGAACAACAGTAAATACATTATGTTTGTGTTAATTTGATTGGAGGTAACTTAAACTCTTTGTGAGGTTGTACAGTGCTGGGGAAAAAAAATCTTCACGCTTGTATTAACTCGGTCAAAATTTGTAGCGTTGGTAAAAATTATTTACACTTTGCATTAACTGTTTCAAGATTTTTTGTGTCGATTAAAAAAAAAGAAAAATATTTGCACTTTGCATTAACTTTGTCAAAAAAAAAATTTTTGTGTCGGTAAAAAAATTATTTACACTTTGCATTAACTTTTTTAAGATTTTTTTTTGTGTCGGTAAAATAAAAAAATATTTGCACTTAGCATTAACTTTGTCGAGACTTTTTTTTGTGTCAGTTATAAAAAAAAAATATTTACACTTAGTATTAACTTTGTCAAGATTTTACTTGATTCGGTAAAAAAAAAAAAAATTAAAAAAAACGGATTAACTTTTTCAAGATTTTTTTTTTATGTCGGTAAAAAAAAGCATTTACATTACGCATCAAACTTGTCAACATTTTTTTGTGTCAGTAAAAAGAAATTTTTACGTTTCGTATTTATTTTGTCAAAAAAAAAACTTTTTTGTATCGGCGAAAAAAATCTTAACATTTCTATATACTTTGCCAAGATTTTTTTTTGTCGGCAAAAAAATAAATACTATAT